TGGCTCCATCCAACCTCAAACCTCTTTGAGAGCATGATTTAAGGGGCTTCCTGGATAAAATCATTTTGTTTTACCCTGTTTGGAACAAAATGGCTCCAAACAGCTCCTGAAGCCGGTGAAGAAGCCTCGCCAAACAAGGCCTTAGCATTGCCAAACTTAAGTTTCACCTGTTCATTGTGCACTGACGAACGGTCCGTCCGCACATGACACATAGTCCACCATATCGCAACTGAGCCACTAGGAGACTCGACACTCTCTGTTAAGTGGATCGCATGGATGGTCCACCCACCACATACGGATGGCCCATGGGGCATGTCCTGACTGACAGTTCGCCAAGTCCGGTTGGAACGTTGGATGGTCGTCTGTCAACACAACACCGAGCCAACCAAAACTACCCAACCTCAGGTAGTCCGGATGGACAGTTGATTAGCATATATCGGACAGTCTGACATACCCAGTTGACCACCTATTTGTAGATATGTGTCGAATATGTATACAATTTGGTTACGCTAAGACATGAGTTGTATTAGGGATCAGGATAGAGTTAGATTCGAACTATGTATCCTAGAAGGGCATAAATATGAAGTAACCCCTGTTGTAACCGTGAGATGACTTGGTGGCTTGTTTGGATGGTGGCAAGGTCGCAGGAGCTTCCGGATGCCAGTGTAGCTGTTGTTTTATGGGGAAGAGTGTTTGTAGTCGTGCGCTGAGGATGTAGACATATCACCAAACCTCATTAAAAATATATTGTGTCTCAGTGTCTTTCTCACTTGTATATTTTCTTCTATGGTGGATTCTATGCCTGCATGGAGCATGAAGGCGATCAACGATTCGACCAGTGGAGTTGGAAACTTCAAGCGGGTGGCTCGAATGGTCAATGAACTGCAATTAACAACGATCTGTGTAACATCCTAAATTTTCAATTTCAACAAATAGGTTCAATTTGATTTAATTATGATTTCTGGTGTGCATAAAATCTAGAAAATAATATTTTTATTAAAAATAAAATAAAATAAAATACTTTACTTGACTTTGTTAGTCAAAAACTCATTTTTATGTTCAAAATTAAAATAAAATATTATCATTTCATAAAATGAGTTAGGAACATGTTGTTGCATATCTATTTTTTGATGACTTGACTTTGGTTGAAATAAAAATTGAATTGGATTTAATTTTTTATTGGCTTTGAAACAATAGAAAAACAGATTTATTTTAAACTCAATCTCACTCTTCCTTTCTTTCTGTCCCATGGTAGCAAGCCAGCCCTGCGGCCTCTCTCCATGGCTGCCTCTGTCGTCACAAGCGCCGCGAGCATCACGACCACCATTCAACTAGGACCGATTCGAGAATTTCTTGGTACAACCCCATATGCGGGAAATCAAGAGCTGTTGAGTTGAAGTCAAGACCGAAAAAGCTCATTGAGGTCAAGATCGAAGAAACTCCCATCTTTGACTGGAGGGCATGGGATCGGTTGGGGATATGAAATCATAGGAGAGGGGATCTTGGGGTCGTATGGACGCCTTGTTGACAGGATCCATGAGAGGAAGGCTGGGATGGGGACGGGCATGACGACATGTCTTCTTCAAGGTGAGGCGAGGTGCTACTTCTTCATGGGGTGGCGGTGATGGGATGGGCGGCATCAGTGGGATGCATGGCAGGGGCTGTGGGATAGCAAGATTGTAGGGTCAAGATGGCGAACTATAATTGATGAATAGTCCTTTCTAAAACTTAAACGCACTAGCTAACCAAAATAAATACGAAATTAAACTACTCGGTCTAGCCAAGACTACACCTCTATATCTAAGTTCAAGCACCTTACAAAGATCGTAATTAAGAAACTAAGGTGTCGGGATAGGCAAAACTCACCTAAACAATTCTAGTTAGTAAGTTCATATAAACCTATGCAACTAGTACTCAAGCAATCGGGAAACTCCTACACATACTAATTAGCAAAGCACACAAAGCCTAAGCTCAATAGCACTTCCCAACTAATAAGGCTACACAAGCCAAACTAGAGAGCTCAACAACTACTTAGCTACACCAAACTAAGCAATGTAACTAGCATGGCTACACAACCCAACTAGTTACTCAAGAGAGCTAATATGTTGCTACACAAGATCAAAAACACAAGCACAATATATGAATGAGCAAAGCAATCTTGTGTTAGGAGTAAGCAAACCAACGGGATGAACAAGTTGACACAGTAATTTTTATCCTAAGGTTCGGTGGTTTGCCAACCACCTACTCCCTTTGAGGCAACCTTAAGGTTGCCGCCGGTCCTCTTGCTAGTAGTGATGACCCTCAAGTCACATTTTCCCACGTGGAGTGCTCACCACAAGCTCTAGCACTTGACCTGGTCGAACCACTTGACGCTCTTCACACATTGGTTCTACTAGAGTTGCTCTTTGCGTCTCCCGTAGGACAAGCACAACACCCCTCACAAGCCTTTCTTCGGATCCATGCACAAGCTTCTTGCGGGCTTCACGACGCCACCAAGCCATCTAGCAGATGGCAACCTCCAAGAGTAATAAGCACTACCAGCTTATAACTTGATCACCTAGTGCCACTTGATGCAATCACTTAAAGCAACGCACTATGAATCGCTCTCACACTTAAACGGATGATCTCTATCAAGCGTATGTGAGTATAGGCTCTTTAGCACTCTCAAGCATGGACACTAAGTCCCAAGGGTGCTCATCCACTAGCCAAGGCTGGCTAAGGGTCCTATTTATAGCCCCAAAGGCTAACATAGCCATTGGGCAAAAACTGCACACTCTACGCATAGCATCGTCGGACCATCTATGTAGCGTCGAACAATTGCATCAGGGTCCAGCGGTCTCAGATTGCGCCACGTGTACTAGCCATTTGAAGGCATCCGTTTGTGCCCAACGGCTACCTGCGCAAGAGCCTGGACCGCCACGGTCCGATGCCGTCGGACCATCTATGCATAGGGTCCAACAAAGAGCATCCAGAGAGCTCGGAACGGTTCAGACCGACTCCTATACATAGCTTCGCGTAGGGTATGACACCCAACAGAGGGCATCAAGAGGGCTTAGAACAGCTCGGACGAGTCCGACGCTACTAGTCAGACCATCTACGCGTTGGGTCTGATGCCCCTCTAGAACCAACACGTAAGGAATAGTACTTTGTTTGACCCGACACCTCCAGTCACCTCAGTCCGATGGCACTGTAGCTTCTACGCATAGCGTCAGACTAACCTACGTGTAACGTCAGACCATTGTACGTGTAGGGTCCAACAACCACAAAAAGCTTCCCTTCCACTCTATCTTCTACGCATAGCCGTAGCGTCGGACCATCCTACGTGTAGGGTCTGACGACCACAGAAGCTTCCCTTTCTCTTCTTCTTTCATCCTTTTGCAACCAAACTAACTTCAAAGTGATTCACCACCTTGTGCACGTGAGTTAGCATTTTTACAATTATTTTTCAAAAGGGTTTCCACTCCTTCTCACCATGCCACTCGATCCTAGCATCGTACATAAAGTTAGATCGCTCAAGTGGCATTAGATGACCGATATGCAAACAAGTTTGCCCCTTGTGATAGTACGGCCATATATGCTAAACCCGGTCATACATTTCTCTACACATCTTTAACCAGTGAAATGAAATGCCTTACAAGTCATACCTTTGCCTTGCGCATTCTATTTGAACTCCTCCAATGTTGATGCCACACAAGCACCAACCTCCATCAAGCCACTTATAATCATCACAAGTCTTGCATGGCTTGATCTCACATGAATGATATATGATCCACTTCATGTCTCCATGTGACCTTATTGGTTCATCGATCGCAACACCGCTTGTCCTTCACTATTGCCCTTGTCCATTGGCGTCAAGTCATTGCCCAATGCAAGCTTCTCCGCCACATGTGGTCCATCGCTCCAAAACCTCTTACTTGCCCTTCACACTTACAACCGGTCCATCGACGCCAAGCCATGTATTGATCTTCTCCACTGAGCCACATAACTCCATATCATGTATCATATGCATGATCTCCTCCATTGACAACTAGTTGAGCTTTGCAACGAATCCAAGCCATTTTCACCTCCATGGCTCAAGTTGCTCACACTAGTGTATATGTGGACTAATTATCTGTGTATCTCAATATAAACACATATTAGTCCACCTAGGTTATCACTCAATTATCAAAACCAAACAAGAACCTTTTAGAGGTGGCGGTGGAATGGCCGGAGCACGGCAGGTGTGGCGGGTGGTGGTAGGGTCGTCAATAGTTTGGGCATGGAAAAGCCCGGAGAGGTAGTTATGGCGAAGCTTTTCCATGCAGCAACAAGGAGGATGAAATATTTCACGGGGCAAACTTGTCTTTTTTTTATTGGACAAACTTGTCTTTTGGCTAGAGGAATCAGAACCTTATGACCACTTTAGCTCAGTTTGGTGGTCTAATAATTGTCTAAAGTGTTTTGAGGATTTAGCTAAAATTTATATCTACTTTTGGACCATATGTTTGAAGACTCTAAATCTAAACTTGTCTCTGAGGTACAAAGGGCCTCGGGCCCACTGTCAGCACACCACACCGGCGCGGGATCTCGGGGAAGAATGTCTTGCGCCGGTGGGCGCTTCTTGGACTTCAAGCCGCGCTGTCCGCGGGTTGCCGTCTGCCAAGCTGTTTGTGCCCTGCGGTCTTCATAGGGTTAGCACCTAGTCCTGTTCGGGAACGGTGAGAGGGATTATTTTCGCACGTCGCTAGGGCATCCAGTGCTGCCGCCCGAAACCCAGCGAGCACCGCGAGCTACGGGTCTCCGCGGACCAGTAGAGATCTCTCCACGACTGGAGTCCCAGGGACCCTGACCCCACCGCCGGCAAGCCCTCCGGCTAGTCCACGAGCCCCTTCCCCTACTCCCCAAACCGGAATCCCAGGGACGCGACCTCGCCGCTGCACCTCTCCCACTCCCCGCTGCTCATCGGCATCGTCCCCAACGCCGGCGAGCCCTCCGGCAAGTCCCCGAGCCCCCCTCCGGCCATGAATCTCGACGAGACGGCACCAGTGGAGCTCTCCCTAGGGGAGATACGGACGATGGGGGAGCTGGAGACAGACAAGGAGACGGATGGAGCGGTGATAGAGGAGGCGGCAGTAGAAGAACAGCTAGTGACCCCGTGGGAGGTGTCAGCTCCGGAGGGGGGCGTAGACTACGACAAGCTGGTTGACAGTTCGGGTGTCAGCGCATCGACGCCGCGCTCGTCGACAGCATCGCGCACCTCACGTCCCGGCCGCCGCATCGCTTCCTTCGGCGCGGGATCTTCTTCGCCCACAGGTGATGCTCTCAAAACCTTTGTTTTTTCCTCTAATTTTGCAGCTAAAAAGGCGAATTTTTACAGTCGATCAGCTATCGTTTATTAAACTGGCATCTTTGCCTGTGCGATTCTACAGATCGTAAAATACCCCCTAAGTTTTTATAAGCAAAATATGCAAATTTCCTATAGGATGTATAACTCAATTATTTTACATTGCATATTTAGTAGGACAAAAATGTTTGGTCGTAGTAATACAATGAATGCATAAAAAAGAAGCGGGCTAATCAATAACAATTCTCCATTGGAAAAAGAGAATTGTAGAAGTGCTTACTTGCAGGTTTAACATCTCTTTATTCTGTAGTGTTTCTTGTACTGAATAATTGATCAACAAATGCATGCAATAGTTAGATTTAGATACCCTGCTTAAAATTACTGGAAGTTCCCTTAAAAAGGATGTTCAAGTAAAATACATGCACTGAACTTACTGGCTCCAACATTTTCTGAATCTGAAATATAGAATCTCTCTTCTTCTCCTTTGGTGGTGGGGACTGAATTTCTGATATGCTTTTGACTTGGGTAGGGATTTGAACAACATCCTTGACCTCTACGAGGTAGGGAAGAGGTTCTATCTGTACACGGGGAGGGGACCATCATCAGGCGCTGCACCTCGCCCACCTCATCCCCTTCATGTTCACAAAGTAAGTGTTGCTCCCAAACTGTGTCTGCTGCTCCTCTGATATGTTCTTGATACAATGCGTTGCACGACCAGACAGTGCTGTGGCGGTGAGGTCTGCGGTATTTTTTACCTGGGTTCACTTGATTGCTGGGACACAGTGCATATTTTGATTTACTTCATTGACCATTAGATGAGCCTAACGAAGACATAGTAGTTGTGGTTTTCAAATGTTTCCTCTGGTAGTTTACTTGGTTAATCGGCCCTTCAATAGGATAAAGAGGTGGACATGCTGCAAAGTACCGTGCAATGAAAGCTTTCCTTGAATATTTCAGATTCCGAAAAGATTCTAAAAGACTCCTTGCACCCTTGAGTAGCATGCTGCAGAATTGTCAGTTTCTCCAGCATAAATAAAGTCCCGTTCCTTAGTCTATGTGCTCTCTATGTCATCTACACTGAAAAAGTGCATTATTTGATACGTCTTGCATTGTAGTTTGATGTTTGTTGTGTGAGTAGCATAAATAGTGTTTTTAAACAATCAAGATCATTTGATAGGTATTTACAAGATGCTTTCAAGGTGCCCCTAGTGATACAGCTAACTGACGATGAAAAGTTTTTGTGGAAGGGCTTGACTATTGAGGAATGTAAAAGGCTTGCCCGTGAAAATGCCAAAGACATTATAGCCTGTGGGTTTGACACTGAAAGGACTTTCATTTTCTCAAATTTCAGTTATCTTCGAGGGTAAGGTTACTCTTCTTAACTGTTGTCCTAATTAAAGTATAAATATTTGAGTGGTCTTTTTTGTTGTCACTCAGCAATTGAAATGTGTGTAATTCTTGTCTCTTTATTCTACGGTGAACTAATAACCCAATATCCTTCTCTTACGGGGCATTTTATGAAAATACGCTTGAAGTTGCCAAACATGTGACAGTTAACAAAGTGAGAACTGTTGAACTTGTTAAGTAATCTGCTGCTCTCCTCTGTACGGCGCAGCAGGGGCAGGCGCCGAAAGGCTCACCTGCCGCACTGTAGACACAGCAAGGGCAGGCGTCATAGTCAGCCCTGCTGCCACATCTAGTCACTGTAGCAGCATGGCAGCCTGACATGTCTGTGCACTAGGATTATATGGGTAGAGTTATATATATAGCTTTCCACTGCAACTCAATAAAGAAAGCGAGTTCAGTTTTGCCATCTCATCTGCAGAGCTCCGGCCAACGCTGGTGCTTGTGCTGTGTGTGTACGCTCTGTTCTCCCTCCCTTCTTCTATCTCTAGCCATAGTGTATGGTCGGCAACGTCAGTGAACGGTCGGCTCACCCGTGCCAGAGATCTAGGGGCCAATAAGTGGTATTAGAGCTGTACAAGCACTGTCGCCGGACTAACCGCTGGTGATGACGGACGGTTTCGGAGATGGGCGACAGCAGTGGCGCTGTTGTGGCTGTCCAACCACGACAGGAGGTCATCGTGCGCACGGTGCGGGAGGTTAGCGGCACCAGTTGGCCGACGCTGACTCGCACTAACTATGGCGAGTGGGCGGTGACCATGAAGGTCAAGTTCAGAGCCCAACAGCTCTGGAATGCCATTGACAAGGGCACCGACAACGAAGAAGACGACATGTCAGCATTAGAAGCTATCCTCGTTGCTGTGCCAGCAAAGTACAGGGAGCCGTTGGGGGCGAAGAACTCTGCTAAGGAGGCGTGGGAGGCCATTGCAGCGATGTGCGTCGGCTCTAACCACACAAAAGAAGGTGACGGGCCAACTGCTGAAGCAGGAGTATGCCAACCTCAAGTTCAAGAATGGTGAATCGGTGGAGAACTTCTCCCTCCGTCTGCAGTTGCTCATCAGCAAGCTGAGGAGCCACGGCGTCACCATCGACGAAGAGTAGGCGGTCTCCATGTACCTCCACTCCATGCCGGTGAAGTACATCCAGATCGCTCTCTCCATAGAGACGATGCTGGACTTATCCACCCTCACCATTGAGGATGTGACAGGCCATCTGCGGGTGGTGGATGAGCACATGGAGCAGGCCACAGCAACGACGAACAGTGGCAAGCCTCCTCCAGCCGCGGTGACGATGGCAAGCGCCGCAGCAAGGCTTCTTCGGAGAAGAAGAAGAAGAACAAGGTTGACCCCAACGCCTACCGGCGCTACGGGAAGACGAGCCATTGGGTAAAGGAGTGCCCAAATCGCAAGTAGCAGAAGAAGGTTGAGGCTCATTTAGCGCAGGCTTATGAGGATGATGAGGTCACTCTCCTGATGGCGACGTTCTGTGCACTGCATGACGTTGAGGCGAAGGAGAAGGGAGAGGTGATGGCGGTGGAAGGGCACATCAAGGCTCTGAAAGCTATCAACCTTGACGAACCACGCGCCCAAGTCCACCTCGGACGTATGGGTAGCGAAAAGGAGCAGCGGTGGTACCTAGACTCCGGCGCCAGCAACCACATGATGGGCTCCAAGGAAGCCTTCTCCGAGCTCGACGGCAACATGACCGACACGCTGAAGTTCAGTGACGGCTCAAGGGTGGCGATCCGAGGGCGCGGCACCATCATCTTCAGGTGCCAAAACGGCGAGCACCGCGCGCTGACGGATGTATATTACATCCCGTAGCTATGTTCAAGCATCATCAACATTGGCCAGCTGGATGAGCACGGAAGCAAGGTACTAATCAAGGATGAAGTCCTCAGGATCAGGGACCGGGAGGAGCACCTTCTTGCCAAGGTGACAAGGCCCTGGAACCGGTTGTACCTACTCGACTTGAAGGTGGGGCAGCCAGTGTGCCTAGCAACATGGTACACCGAGGAGCCATGGCTGTGGCATGCCTGGTTCGGCCATCTCAGCTTTGATGCGCTCGGTCGGCTGGAGAAGATGGTCCAAGGGCTGCCCCACATCAAGCATGCAGGCGAGCTGTGTGACAGCTGCCTGGACAGGAAGCAGAGGAGGTTGCCGTTCCCAATGATGGCCAAGTATCGCGTGGTGGACGCTCTCGAGTTCGTCCACGGTGATCTCTGTGGGCCAATCACGCCAGCCACAAACGGTGGTCAGCGGTACTTCCTCCTGCTCATGCATGATTGCAATCGCTACATGTGGCTACAACTCTTGACGAGCAAGGATGAGGCGGCAGACGTGATCAAGAAGTTCAAGGTGCGCGTGGAGGCTGAGAGCGGTAAGAAGCTACGCGTGCTGCGGACTGATCGCGGTGGCGAATTCACTTCGATGGAGTTCATTGCGTATTGTGTGGGTTAGGGTGTGGTGCGACACCACACCGCACCATACTCGCCACAGCAGAATGGCATGGTAGAGCGGCAGAACCAAATGGTGGTTGGCATGGCTCGATCCATGATGAAGGCCAAGAGCATGCCAGCAAGGTTCTGGGGTGAGGTGGTGACCACGGCGGTCTTCATTCTCAATCACGCACCCATAAAGGCCCTGAAGGATGTAACGCCGTTCGAAGCTTGGTATGGGCGCAAGCCGATCATGTCCTTCCTCTGGACATTTGGCTGCATCGGCCACGTCAGGAAGACAAAGCCGGTCCTCACCAAGCTGGAGGACAGGAGCACACCGATGGTGCTCCTGGGCTACACGGAAGGTACCAAGGCATACCGGCTCTATGACCCACGTGGAGGCAAGGTGGTTGTCTCGCGCGACGTCATGTTCGACAAGAAGGCGGCCTGGGACTGGGACAGTCCGAGCACGGGGGATGCTAGAGAGGAGGTGCCGACCACTCCAGCAATAGTGCCAAGCACTTCTAGGGTGGTGCCGAGCACTCTGAGAGGGGTGCCAAGCACTCCAAGAGTGGTGCTAAACGATCCTGCAGTGGTGCCAACCACTCCAGGATGGGTGCCAAATGCTCCTGTAGCGGAGCCGAGAGGTCTTGCAGTGGTGCCGACCACTCCAAGACTGGTGCCGAGCACTCTTGCAGTGGTGCCGACCACTCTAGGAGTGGTGACGAACGGTCCAAGAGTAGTGCCGAGCACTACAGCCAGGGTGCCGAGCACTCCAGGTGCTGTGCCGACCACTCCAGTGGAACAGGGGACTCCATCGACGCTGACGAGTTCACCTCACCTCCAAATAACATCACTGAGTTTATGGATGCCTTCCACGACAGTGAGGAGGTACGGTTCCGCAGGCTGGACGACATCGTCGATGGCACAGGGCCCTCAGGCCTGGCGGGTCGACTGCTCAATGACCCAGAGCTGCTTCTCATCAGTGCAGAGGAACCACCCACGTTCGTGCTGGTTGAGCGCGATGCAAATTGGCGATGGGCGATGCTGGAGGAGATGAAGGTGACCGAGGAAAACGAGACTTGGGAGTTCGTCGATCCACCTCCAGGATGTCGTCCGATAGACCTGAAGTGGGTGTACAAGGTCAAGCGGGATGAACATGGCTCCATTGTCAAGCACAAGGTGCGCCTCGTCAACCGAGGCTTTGTCCAGCGTGAGGGCATCGACTTCGAGGAAGTCTTTGCGCCGGTAGCGCGCATGGAGTCTATCTGACTGCTGCTGGCATTAGCAGCAGCGAACAACTGGCGCATCCATCACCTGCACATAAAATTGGCCTTCCTCAATGGTGAGCTGGCGGAGACGGTCTTTGTCGGCCAACCTCTGGGTTTCGGGAGCATAGCACAGGGTGCTCTAACTGCGCAAGGCGCTCTACGGGCTGCGGCAAGCCCCACGAGCTTGGAACACCAAGCTTGACGCCACGCTAGGCGAGCTTGGTTTTACGCGGTGCGCAACTGAGCACGCACTCTACACATGGCGGCGGGGGAACGGGGAGTTCATTGTCGACGTGTATATGGACGACTTGATCGTCACTGGCGCGAATGTGAAGGACATCGATAGCTTCAAGCGCGAGATGGCGGCTCATTTTCGAATGAGCGATCTCGGCATGCTCTCCTAGTACCTCGGCATCGAGGTGAGATAGGGGAAGGAGGCGCTCACGCTCGATCAGAGCGCGTACGCCTCAAAGCTGTTGGAGCGGAGCAACATGGCTGAGTGCAAGCCATGCATGACTCTGATAGAGGAGCGGCTGAAGCTGACGAAGGCCAATACCACGACGAAGGTAGATGCAACACTCTACTGGAGCATCGTCGGCGGTCTGTGCTATCTAGTCCAAACAAGGCTAGACATTTCGTTCGTCGTGGGCTACGTCGGCCGCTTCATGGAGGATCCCCGAGAGCATCACTAGGCTGCGATGAAGCGGCTGCTGCGCTATGTCAAGGGTACGGTGGATCAGGGGATCATCTTCCCCAAGACTGGCGGAAGTGGGTTGTAGCTCACTGTGTTCAGCGATGCAGACATGGCAGGGGACATCGATGAACGACGGAGCACCTCTGGTGTGCTAGTCTTCCTTGGGTCAGCTCCAATCTCATGGTTGTCGCTGAAACAGAAGGTGGTGGCACTATCCACGTGCGAGGCAGAGTACGTGGCGGCGGCCACAGCGGTGTGCCATGCTGTGTGGCTGCGCCGACTGCTAGGCGAGCGGACCGGTGTGGAAGCTCACCCACCAGCACTGATGGTGGACAACTATCCTGCCATCGCCCTCGCAAAGAATCTGGTTCTCCACGACCGGAGCAAGCACATCGATGTCAAGTTCTACTTCCTCAGGGACTGTGTCGATGGAGGGCAGATGGTCATCGAGTTCATTGAAACTGGTCGGCAACTCGCGGACGTCCTCACCAAGCCGCTTGGCCATCTTCGGTTCACGGAGCTGAAGAAGATGATCGACATGGTGGAGGTTCTAGGGTTAGCAGCAGGATTAGGGGAAGAATTGTTAAATAATCTGCTGCTCTCCTCTATATGGTGCGGCAGGGGTAAGACCCGAAAGGGCTCCCCTACTGCTGCACTGTAGCCGTTGCAGAGGCAGGCGCCGAAAGGCTCACCTGCCGTACTGTAGCCACAGCAGGGGCAAGCGCCATAGTCAGCCCTGCTGTCACATCTAGTCATTGTAGCAGTATGGGCAGCCTGACATGTCTGTGCACTAGGATTAGATGGGTAGAGTTGTATATATAGCTTCCCACTGCATTGCAAAGCGAGCGAGTTCAGTTTTGCCATCTCCTCTGCAGAGCTCCGGCCAACACTGGTGCTTGTGCTGTGTGTGTGCGCTCTATTCTTCCTCCCTTCTTTTACCTCTAGCCATAGTGTGTGGTCGGCAACATCAGTGAGCGGTCGGCTCATCCGTGCCGAAGATCCAGGGGCTAACAGAACTAAGATCAATATTTGTGAATGGGAGCTTGTCACTTATCTTGAAGTGTTATCATTTTCTAATACTCTCACTCTTGAATAACAGTCTAAAGGGATATTTGGAACTAGTCTGTATGATAACAATGGTAAGGTCGGCTTTCCTCCTAAGCAGGCTGCTCCATCGTTCCCTTCATCATTTCTACATCTCTTTTCTGGAAATGATGAACTGAGGTGCCTTATACCATGTGCAATAGACCAGGTACAATATCTTTGTCTGATCATCTCGGCATAATTGGTTGTTTTTCTACTTGCTAACATACTGTTAGGGTGTGCTTGTTGCTTGGGCAAGGATAGGCTGGCTTTTGGTATCAAAAGGCAGGATAGCCCAAGCGAGCATAGCTCAATGCAATTGCGCGGTATTTAGTTTACCTGCAAACAAAGTTTGGCGTATCTGCTTGGCATTGTAATATAGAGATAAATTTATCTTGCAGCTCTAAATTGTAATTAATGCTTCTGGAGTTCATATTGTTCCGGTAGATTTGGATTGTGCCCTGGCATATGCAAATTATGGACAATTTTATTTAGTGATATATTGAAAAGACATATCTGATATTTTCATGTACTGGAATGCACATGCATTTAGTTTTGCAAGTTTGAGTTTCTTAACTTTATATTTGTGCAGGATCCTTATTTTAGGATGACTCATGATGTTGCTCCTAAAATTGGTTTTGAGAAACCTTCACTGATTGAATCAAAAAATTTCCCTGCACTTCAGGTATTTTATTTGGGATTTGGACTGAATGCTGGTGCAATTTGCCCACTTTTAGCTAACCTTCTCGTATTTTTTGGTTTTATTATAAATGGTCATGATTTCGAGTGCATTACTTTATGCGGGTTGTTTTGTTTCCTTTTTATAGGGGGAGAACACTAAAATGTCAGCCAGTGACCCGAATTCTGCCATATATGTGACAGATAGTTCTAATCAAATAAAGGAAAAGGTTTGTCCTAAGTTATGTTTAATCAGGAATAATATTTACCCAGCAATAACACGTTTTAAGTTAAGCCATTAAAATTATGGTGAAATGTTAATTCATTGGACTGGGGCATTGAGCCAAGTATCTTGTAGCTCTATTCTTTCATAAGCTTATAAAATTTATTCCGTCATTTTCCAGGTGAATAATTTTGCTTTCTCAGGTGGCAGGGAGTCCACAGCGCTCGAGAGGGAATATGGTGCCAACATTGATGTAAGCCCTTTCCCTGTATTCACGACCACTATTGAACACCAAACTAGTAGCTAGAATACTCTGCATTCTGACTTTTTCTTGGAAATCGGAAGTTAGATTTATGATGATACTTGACTTTGAATGATCAGCAGAAGCTACCTTGGAAGGCTAGCTGTTTCTTGATTAAGGCTTTCATGTCACATTTCATTGCTAACATGCTGAAGATTGTGATCTTCATTTGTATAATCCACCTACAGTATTCTAGTTAATTCGTATATTTCTAAAGAAACACATAATCTATTGGCGATTCTTGTCTTGTTCAGGTGGATGTCCCAATCAAATACCTAAACTTCTTCCTTGAAGACGATGATGAGCTTGAGCACATAAAGAAGGTTCATTTTTCATGCTGACTAGCTAAATTATGCTTCCATTACTCTATCTGTTATGAAACTCGTCATTACTAAATATCATCAGGAGTACATGGAAGGAAGGATGCTAACTGGTGAAGTAAAGCAACGGCTGATTGCAGTTCTATCTGAGCTGGTTGTTAAACATCAGAGAACTAGAGCTCAAGTGACTGAGGAGGTACGTTGTTGGCCCGATTGGATCTTAGATTCAGATCTACAACTACAGAGGGCAGCTTGACCCTTAGGCACTTGGACTGAATGGAAATGCAATGGCTTATTTTTTTTAATGACACTTATTTGCCCTTTATAGACAAAGGGGACTCCCACTTGCTACAGCATATTCAAACCAATAAAGTGAATGCTGAGTATATTCCTAACACTAGGCTTGGAAGCCAAAAAAAAGTAAAAGTGCAGGAAAAGTAAGATACAAATGCTTTAGCACTAGGCTTATCTATCATTCTCTCCCTAAGCCTTGTGCCGAGCACCGGAGGTGATCTACTGCAGTCCAATCCTCTCCCTCATCTCCTAAAACTTGGACTTCCTCAGCGACTTGGTGAGAATGTCAGCCAGCTGATCAGTAGTGGCAATGTGGCTGGCCTTGATGCACCCGTCCTCCGAGCAATCTCTGATGCAGTGGTACTAGATGCGGATGTGCTTGTTTTTTTCATGGAAGACAGGGTTCTTGGCAAGGAGCTCTACCAGCATCCTTGACAGCCATAGCGCCTGTGTTATGGCAGAGGTGGTGGCAATGTACTCTACTTCACAGCTTGCGAGGGCCACCACCTTCTGCTTGAGGGACTGCCAGCTGACCAAGGAATCACTGAGGAAGAACATCGCCCCGATTGTGCTCTTGCTGGTATCCACGTCGCCAGCGAGGTCGCTGTCGCAGTAGCCGACGAACCGTGCCGTGTCGGAGGCCCTTCCGTAGTGAAGACTGTAGTTAAGGGTGCCCGCCATGTAGTGCAGGATTTGGTTGACGGCATACAGATGCTCCATCGTCGGCCGCTCCATGAGCCGGCTCATGTACCCGATGGCGAAAGCGATGTCTGGCCGGGTATGGACCCGGTAGCGCAAGCTATCGATCAATCGTCGATAATGGGTTGGATCGACCTCCTCTGTCGTGCTCTCTAGACTCAACTTGAGCTTCTCCTCTGTAACACCCTAGGTGTTTAGGCTTCCACTAAATTGCATGTCATTTCATAAACATGTGCATTATCTATGTCATCATGTCATTATCATTGAAACATACATATGCAACATTTTAAATTGTATGTGTTTCATGCTTGATTGCTTAGAGTGGTAGTAGTGCAACGTATGAATGCAACATAAATTTCTCATATCTTGAAGCATGGCAACATGGTAGTAATGTGACAAGTATAGGATAACAACAAGGTCATGCAACATCTAAAACATTGTATTGAAACATATGTATGAATTGCTGTTTTACTTTCTTTATCACATGTGATCATTAGAAGTGGTATAACAATTATGTAAAGTGGTTGATCATGGTCTATTACACCTTAGCTATACTTAGGTTACTTGTTGGGACATTGTTCATGTAGATCAAAATGACCAAAATGCCCTCAAGTGCAAGTTTGACTTGAATTGACCCTTGGAGTGTCATCATTTGACTGATTCAAAAGTCCAACTCAGAAACCTTGCATGGCTGTGCACTCTTTCCCAAAGTTGTAGCTAATTTATCAAGGAACAAAAGTTGTTTTATGACCAACTCATGAAAATGGCTAGAACATGCTCAAACATGGCCCACAAGTCAGAAGTACATGCTGATTTCAGACTTAGGAATTTTTCTAAGTCCTTATGTGGGTTGCAGTTTCATGTACCCAGCTTTGTCACCTTGTATCTCCCTAACCAAGCCAAACTAGCTCAAGCTCCAATTAGCAAATTTGTAGTAATCACGTAGGTCTCCAACTTTTTTAACTATGGCATAGTCTAGATCGCCACGGATTAGGAGTTAATGATCGTCGAATACGTGCTGTCAGTCATGGTCATCAAACACTGAATCACGTTTTTAGAAAACGTTCAGTGAACGTGGCCGACCGATTCAGAAAAATGACGCCGCGTGGCGCCACCCATCGCCGATCGCCTGAGCGCGCAGGCCACGCGCCGTGGACGCCCTGGCGCGGACAGCCGCGTCTTGAAGCCACCCCACGCCTGCCCGACGCACTCGCACGCCCCTGTTTGCATTCTTCGCCTCCCACAGCGCAGCACCGAGCCGCCCGCCATTGCCGCCGGAACTTCGCTCTCGCCTAGCTCCCGCGTCTTGGCAAAAACGCGTTGCCCAGCTCACCCAGAGCCCCGCCGTGATCCCCTCTCCCTTTTCCACCGTGCTAGCGAGTCAATCGTACTTCGGTAAGGGCCAATCGTCGGTTTTTCCCCACCACCGCCTTGTCGGACCTCGCCGGAGTTAGCACTCCGCGTGGCCAGCTCTCCTCGTGCCATTGCTATCCCCTCCTCTGGCTCGCACTAAGTCCTAGGAACACCACCGAAGCTCGTAGTGTCAACCGTTAGGGCAGCAGCGCCGTAGCCTCGCCGGAGCTGGACATGCCGCGGCCGTGCGCCGCCGTGCTCGTCGCCACCCCCTCTAGCCGCTGCAATCGTTGCAATAGATGGGTCCTCTAGATGCACATGGGTGTGGGGAACACGCCGGTGCCGTCGAGTTCGCCGAAGATGTCACCGGCGACAATCTACGCCGCCGCCCTATTTTCCTCCCCTGCCTATCTCGCTGACACGCGGGCCCTGCTTGTCAGTCGCTGACGCGCGCAGCGGGAGCCAGCTTGGGCTGAGCCGTGTCTTGGGCCGCGCCAGCGCGTGTTCGTGGGCCGCTGTTCCTTCGGGCCGGCCCAACTGTGGCTGAGTTTTGTTTCCTTATTTTGTTTTGTTTTATTCTTTCATAGATTTGTATTGTTATTCAAAAATCTGTATTTCCTAGTATATAGATCCAAATGCTATGGTTCCAATTTTGTTAAGTTCCTGGTCATGTCTAGTATTTAACAAAAATATTATATAAGCACATGTTTTAGAAATTTTTGATGAATTAAATAGGACTTTGAAATGTGTTTTTAGATGCATGCAAACTTGTTTGAATTTTATCTTGAGTTTCTGTGGTCCAAAAATTATGAAATTTTGTGGGTAGTCTATTATTGCTTATTAGAAGCTCTGGTTAAAATTTCAGAGCTAGTGCATGTGTAGTTTGTAAGTTATAGAATTTCCTTTTATTAATGGGTGGATCTTGTGTGAATTTTCATAATTTTTCTATAGATCCAGTGGAGGTAAAATTTGATGAGTGCTATTCTTATGCTAGAATGATGCTAGGAAAAATGAGAAATCTGTTGCTTGACACTTTTTAATAAGGTTTCCTAATTATGCTAGAAATAGACATGTCATCTGTTATTTTAGATACAACAAGTTTTACTTGTCCAATGGCTTTGAAATTTTTATGGTAGTCTATGTGCAGCATGAGATAGCTACTGTAATTTTTGTAGATTTTTATGAATAGTTTTACTATATATTGCTTAAATCACCTAATTAACTAAATAAATTGGAAAAGGATACTAAATAAATTATTTAGAAGTTGACACTATACTTTCTGATGTTTCTTAGGTATGAAAAACAAGTTGGTAAACTTGGATTGCTCAAATTATGCTTTTGCATCATCATTAAATAATTAAGTTAGCAACCCTGTCATTGCGGGACAGATTCTAGGTCTACTGGAATTTGATTTGGTTAACTTAAGAATCATGCTTTGATGTTTACAAATGAATTGTAGAGAATTTCATAAGCTTTCCAGAATGTCCTCTTGCAGGTCATTTGGATTTATAGAACTCTGGTTATGATTGAATTAAGTAACTACTTGTTTGCATATGAAGCTTTAACTGTTATTTTAAGTATGTCTTTACTATTTCTAAGTTTGTGGTAATGTTCTTAGGTGTTAGGGCTTTAACTGAAGATGAGCATCTTTATCTTAGGTTATGCAAGTTAGGTAAGTTGCTCTTGTTCTTTAAGTTAAGTTAGATACATGCTTAAAGTGATTTGAATAGAGCTAATTAATCGGTAAACGAGTGTCCAGTGATGCTTTCGTAAACACTCACTGTGATTCATTCATCATGAGCATCATGTCATTCCTTATGCATCCATGATATTTATCTTTTGCATCGGCATGCAATAGGTGTACCGGAAGGAGTAACCCTGCTGGAATTCGAGGAACTGAGCGAGCAGCAGCAGCCGGCACCGGAGATTCAGGAGGAGGAGCCTTCAGGAGAAGTGCCAGACGAGGTCGCCGTTGAGTGCCCGGACCACCGTCCTTGCAACTTTGTGAAAGGCAAGCCCTGGAGCATATTAAGCCTCCTAATTTCCGAAATGTAGTTACAGTATTATTGTTACATATATATATTGTTGCATTAAGTTTAGGTGTTGGGTGCAAACCATTACTGCATTGGTTACCCAATCCTTGTCCAGATATTGTTACCCTGAATCCTATGTAGCTCAGGCTCGAGTAGTGCTTAGACCTGCTTAAACGCGGTAGAAGTCGGGTGATTTTCTGTCACCTGTGAGATATAGGAAGATACATGTGGCACGGTTGGCTATAATTGCTATCGTGGAAAAGAACCAGTCTTAATTTGAAATGAAGACCGGGCGGAGGCTTGCCGGTTTGCAATGACTCCGTCTCAGTCGATTAAGGACTGGATCTTGGAGCCTTTCTGTTCATGTTGAACGCATGCCTCTCTCTTAGTTGGCGGCACAAGACCGACCCTTGAAGCCGAGTAGCTCACCTCGGGCCGGGAGTCGATAAGTATAAAGTGCGCCTCGGAAGGGAGCCGTGAGGCGTGAGTCCAAGGGGTGTGATTTAAAAGTCCTGATCGTCCTAGCAGAAGGGTAATCCCTGAGAGTGCTGGCGCTGATCGAACCCACGAATTTGGTTCCTGAGATGTTCCAAAGGTGACCCACGGCTACCCTTGCTAAGTATGCCAGGGTGAGAGTTAGGA